TTATAAAGGATACAGCTCAGGAAAGGCCAAATGGAAGAGATACATAGAGCAAGGTATGGAGAAAGGGCTTGGAGCTTCCATGCCCTCTCTGGGTGTATCATCCTCCTAGCACAGAGCTGTGTTCACCAGCCCAGAATCCCCCAAACTCAGTTGTTTAGGGGCTTTTATGGAGGATTCATTATTTAGGCTTCATTGATAAAATCATTGGCCTTTAGTGATTAACTCCAGCTCCAGCCCCTCTCCTCTCCCCAGAATGGGGCTGAAAGTTCCAACCCTGTAATCACATGGTTGGTTCTTTTGCTAACCAGCCGCCATCCTGAACCTATCTAGGGCCCGGCCACCAGCCATCTCATTAGCATGTAAAAGACAGTAAATTCAGGGATTTTAGGAGCTCTGTGCCAAGAACCAGGAGCAAAGACCGAATATTTATTTTCTATTATACTACAAGATCCATCGGCTTATCTTCCAGGGATGGTCAGACACATTACCTCCCTCACCAGGAGTACAGTCCTTCTGCAGCACACACACAAACACACATGTGCAAACACATGCACACACACATACATGCACAAATACATGCACACATACATGCACACACACATACACCCCTATACACATACATACACTCATACACACGCAAACACATACACACAGTTACACACTTATATGAACACACATGCACACACTAGTCAGGTGTCTGAATATTAGAGACATCTTTATAAAATATGAAATGTGAAAAGAACAATTCTTGGAATCTCTGTTGTCCTTGACTGACAGTGTGAGTGGAGAAAGGGGATGCATGAGGCATAAAGATGGGGACAGACGATGTACTGTACTGTGAAGTCACAAAGTCGTGAGGTCCAGGTGTAAGTGTCTCTGTCAACGAATGAATACTTATTGGGAAAGAGTTCGGACAGCTAGTCGGAGGCTTCACTTGGCCCCAGCCAGGGTTGTAAGGTACAAAAGTTCAAGTTTCATTTTTGCAAATCCAATCCAGATGTTTCAGAGTTATTTCTCTCCAGCACTATGTAAATGATTTCCATCGTGGTGATCTGTTGGAGAACCACAAGACCTCAGTCCCCAACACTGCCCAGGGCTCCCCAAGGATTCTTTTCTACCAGGTTCCCTTCCCTGTGGCCCATCCAGCCTACCCTACGCCCTGCCCAGGGCTCCTGCCACAGCCTTGTCCACATGTGTGAACTCACACCACATTGTCCTGACTGTATGCTTGAGGATCGGCCTCTGAAACCCATAAAAAGTGGCAGGCACAATTACTCAAGATAAAAGCAAGACAGAGATCCAAGAGGCAGAGGCTGGGAGGGAGGAAAAAAGGGAGAAAGAAGGTGCATTTATAGGCACAATCGTCTGGCCTTCCCAGCTTCTCCGTTCCTGCAGTCGGCTCCTGCCATGTCTCAGCTCTGCTGGGGAAGGCTTCCCTGTGGGTTAGATTCTTAAAACTGGATGTCTTTTAACCAAGTGGTACCTGCATGCCAGGCTGCAGGCACTAATGTGTTGGGAAAATAAAAGGTATTTCCTTTATAAAAATTACAAACTAGTGTATAATATTATATTACATATATCAATATATCATAATATGTATTTGCTCAAATGATGTTCAAGTTTGGGGCCACGTGGTTTTCAAAAGTATACTGATATAAATCATCCTATCTTTTTATTTTATTCCCATAAGCCTAGATTTGATTTGATAGTTTGAGACAGAGATGGACAAATTTTTTAAATTATTTATTACCTGACATTTTATTTTTCGCCAACTTTTTACTATGGGAAAATTTCAAGCACATAGAGAAGGCGAGCCCATTGTACAACTCCCCCCATCCACCCCTGAAATCCCATAACCGCTAACATTTTGTCATATCAGCTTTATGTGTACATACTGTTTTTGCTGAATTATTTAAAAACAAGTTTAAGGTATCAAGACATTCCACTCTTCAATAGTTCAGCAGGCATCTCCTAAAAATAAGGTCATTCTAGACAAGTAGTGTGCTATTATCACACCTAATAACACGAACAATAATTCTACAATATCATTCAATACACCATCATGTTGAAACGTCCTCCAAATTCTTTAATGCTGGTTAGTTGACCCAGGAGTTGATCAGGGTCCATGTTTGTTATGAATGTCACTTCTTTTTAGCTGTTTTTGTACTACAACCATTCCCATTCTTTCTCCGACACTGACTTTTTTGAGGAGACCACGCCAACTGATACAGAACGCCCTGCTCTCTGGACGTGTCTGATCGTTTCTCCCTGGCATCATTTACTCTGCTGTTTAAGCCCTTCTTTCCCGTAAACTGGAAGTGAAGGTCACAGGCTTGACCTCTGACTGAATTTTAGCATTTTTAGCAAGAGCACAGCATTGGTGATGTGTGCTGGATTCTGGATCCCATAATATCAGGTTGATCCAGTATGAGAGATGCTAAGTTTGATCCCTCCTTGAGCCCCTGACAGCCAGATGTCTCCATTAAAACAGAGAACGTTCTTCCTTTTCCAGTTAGCATTGTGTGCTTCACCAATTCTCCACACTTTCACCGTGCTGTGCATGAATTCACCTGGTTCAACTCAATTATTTCAGCGGGAGGTGAAAAATGGGAACTTCCTAATTCTCCCATTCCTTCTACATTTATGAGCCACCATTCCTCTGTAAAGAGCTGTCGCTGCAGAGGGGGAGATTTTTATTCAACAGACTCAGGGAGAGCTGGTTCTCTCCAGAGGAGTTATGAGAGAATATGATTTCTAGAGGTTGTGTGAGGGCACAGAGGGCACTCCAGTCAGGGCCCAGTGACTGAGCTCTAGGGCCCATGGAGTGGGGAGCAAGCAGGGGTACACAGTGGGCCAGCCAGAGGACTGTGCTTGGAGAGAGCTGCTCAGGGTAGGGAATCTTTGGGAAAAAGGAGTCTTTACCAAAAGAGGAGTTTCAGGAATCCTCTGGTCTCCCTTGGGACATTTACAGTAAAGAGTCCCACTGTTTTTCAGCCTTCTGGAGTCCAGGTCCTGAGGCTGCTTTTGGAGCCATCACTAGACCTCAAGGTTGCCCTAGTAATGTCTGGATTTCAGACTTTGTCCAGTGAATGAAGACATGGGCACCAGTCAAAACAAACTTCAGCCAGTAACCTAGTAGTGCATTTTTCGTAGTGTGACGCAACTAAATGAACAGATTTGTTGATGAACTAACTGACTGTTTTGCTCAGGTGTAAGCACAGTGGCCAGTACGCTGTCTGGTTACCCTGGCCACGGTGGGTGGCTGAAGATGCAGTCTCTCCTCTCCCTTTCCTGACTTGGTGCTGTAGGAGTGGAAAGATTAAGGAACCTTAATTATAAGGGTCCCCTTATAATTTGGGGCAGAGATGGCTTCTCAGAGCTTGCACAAGACACCCTGAGCCAGTTTGGAGGCTACCATGCTGGAGAGGTCTCATAGCAGTGCAGGCAGAGTACAGTAGATTAAGTGGAAACAAGGACAGGGCAGCACCAGCCCTCCACTGAGCCCCAGAGGTCAGCCAGAGCTCTGCAGTACCGCCCAGCCCCCCACCCCGCTTTTTCTCCAGGGCTGGGGTTTCTCAGCAGGGAACAACTGAGAAGGCCAGCAAAAGCACTGGCAACTTGCACACTGTTGTCTATGCCTCCTCTCAGGGCTCAGTCCCACCCCTAATAAGCATTTGCTCCCAGCTCTAGGGGAAGGATGCTTGGGGCTCTTCCTCTGGAGGCAAGAGGGCAAATCACAAGACAGGTAACTGAGGGAGACTTTCCCCAAGATTCCCCAACTTGCTTCAGGGACCCCTGCAGTGCCTGTCTGGTCTGCCCAGGAATGCACAGCCTTGCTTGGGATAGCAGGCCTTCTGGTTCCTTTTTCTTGCCTCTCTCCATTTCCTCCTCCCCCGTTCTCTTTCTTTCTCCCTCGCTAGAAGCTTCCAGGGTCGGTTGCTGTGTTCACTTACTCAGGACCTTCACTTTCCGTGTCCAATAGATTTGGTAGTCCCCTCCCTCGGAATTCTTCTTTCGGAAGCTCTTCGCATAGATTATCTCATTTATCCACACAAAAGGAGTGAATCCCTGAGGTGTGCCACGGAAAATCCACGAGCTCTTGTGCCCAGGGCGGGTCCGGGGATACGGAGCGTGTGTGCCCCCGGGGAACAGCCTCTGCGCTGGAGGCCCAGAGCACGAGGGAGGTGGAAGGCACAGGTCCAAACCAAAATGTTGCCAGATGTTACCCCTCAAGTTGGGGGTCAGTCAGTTCCAACCCAAAATGATCATGATCGCGACAATTATGCTAATGATGATGATGATAACAGTAATCTGCCAAACCCTCGCCCTCAGTGCGCCCTGCCCAAGTCCAACCCCGGACCCGGTTTGGACCTGCCGTCTGGGTCCTGAGCCCCTGGGTCGGCAGCCGGGAGCTCAGGAGGAGCGCAGGATCTGAAGGCCGTTCTGGGGCAGAGGCGGAGGGGCAAGCCAAGCCCAGGGGGACTGCGAAGGGAGGCGGGAGGCCATGGGAGAATGTCTAGGACCCACCAGAGAGGGCCTCGACTGTGGGGGCAGGCAAGGGAGGCAGGAAGACCGGAGCAGGAGTTCGGGGGCGGGAGTCCGGGAGCAGGACACAGGGGTTTGGGGGCAAGTGCGGGCGCGGAGTGCGGGGGATGCTGAGGCGGGGGGCGGGGAAGGAGGGACGCGGAGATAGGGGCGCGGCGCTGAGGGAAGGGGTATGAAGGTGGTGGGGGACAAAGAAGTGACGGCAGAGGGCTGGGAGATGGGGGAGGGGGCAAAGGGTAGATGGGTGGGCGGGGAGATGCCGGGAGGCCGGGGGATGGAGCAGGGTGCGGGGAGGTGGGGTATGAGGTCAGGGGAGGAGGGGGCGTGGGGGGCGTGAGTAGGGGGCTGGGGCTCGGGGAGGTGGAGGTGGGGCCCGGGATGTGGGCGTGGGGCGGCAAGGCGGGGAGGCGGAGCTCGGGCCCCGCCCCAGCGGGCCGCTGGAAAAGTTTGCGCCCGGCTGGCGGGGACAGAGGCTGAAGAATCTGGTCTGGGAGACACGCGACAGGAACCCGGCGCCAAGCGCGGTGGCAGGACGAACCCGAGCGAGACTCTCCGGCCCGGGAAAGTGCCCCCACTCCCGAGCCCCAGGACTATCCCGGCGTCCCAGCCCAGCTCGCATCTGAGCGGAGGAAGGGGTGTCAGGATGCCGGTGGCCCAAGTGCCCTTCCCAGAAGGAGGTGAGACGGCACGGCCGAAGGCCCGGGGCACCGGGGTGGGTGGGGGCAGCCGGGTCCACTTTTCTCACAAATTTCCAGCCAGTCCTCGGCGCGACGGTGACCTGGGTGGGCGAGCACATTACATCAGCATCACCCCCTCCACACAGGTCAGCCATTCTGGTGACTGAAGCCGAGGCGGGGTGGGGGAGGGGATGGTCCCTTTTTAAGTACAATTGGAGCATTTAAATGCCAAGGAAAGAGTAGTGACTCTTCACAGAGACGTTCCGTCAGTCGCTTTCCTGGAACAATTAAAAAGTTGGGCTCCCGCCCAGGATGAGGACCTGGGACTCTGGAAGCGTGTGTACATGTGCTTGTTCTCTTGAGGAAATTATTCTATTTAATTTTATTCGCCACGAAATTCCAGTTTTCCTTCTATGTCTCAAACAAGGCAGTCAGGGCTGTCAGAATCAGGGGGCTGGAAGAAAAAGTTCCTATCGTGCAATAATGAGGTTCCCAGGGAAGATCAGTATGTTACATTCCTAACAGATAAAGCTGGGGAAGGTCCTTCTTTGACCTGGTGCAGGAAAGTGCTAACTTTGCCACTTTTAACCCTCCAGTCTCCAAATGGTTCTCTCTCCCTCTCTCTTGATCCCTCTCCTTCTTACGTTCTCTCTCTTCCTGACATTAGACACTCCCAAGGACATATTACTTTGTGGTGTTTTTGTATTTAGAGGTAAGAGAGGGACTTCTTGTTGGATTTTTAAAGTGAACATGCTTTACTTTGAAAATGAAGAAAGGTAGCAGCATGAACTGAGTCTGGCTCTTCTGGAGCTCTGGGTATTTCCACAATTAGGCATCTTTTTCAAGTCTGGAGTTAGAAGTTGCAGACCTTGTATATAATCACATGTTCCTAATGTATCTTTTCAACATTTATTTCTTCATTGATGAAAATCTTGCTGGCATGGTTAACAAAAACGTAATTCCTAGGAAGTACGAGGGCAGGATTATGGTCTGTGGGTATATGAGTAACAAGGGATGGCCAAGCCTGTTGCTGGTGTACGTGGTGGTTCTGGTGTGTATATGTGTGTGGAGTGTGGTATGGTGTGGTGTGTGTGTGTGTAGTACTTAAGGAGTTGTGGAATTATCCACATCTGTACAAGTTCTCAATTGATGCAGAGCTCAGTGCCAGTATGAATAATTTTGTTGCCGGAGGAGAACCATACACTGGATGTTCTCAGTCAGCAAACATTCACTTAGGGCCTGCTAGTCCAGGCGCTCTTGTTGCCTGACACCAGAGATCTGAAACACAAAGTCAGCCCTTAAGATATAGACAAAATGCTTCCTCAACCAGTTTTCATCTCTGAAAATGCTGCTTTCCTCTTTACATTTGTGCATTTCATTAAAGGCATGAGTCTTCTAATTTTCTACCATATGTGGATGCTGAAACTCCCATTTCCTGTACAAGGAGCCTTACCTATTGGCCTAATGAATTTATTTCTCAAAATTTACTAACTGATTTTTCTTTGTTTGGAAATAATGACACTAATTTGATTCCACGGTATCTCTTCCACCTCCTAAAAATGTTTCAGGACCTACAGTGTATACATATATTTTTGTTGCAAAGACATGGGGATTTGAGCATACCATAATCTTGAAACATTTGGGGTTGCCCAATTGGAGAAACCCTTTTTTTCTGCCAGGACTTGGGACTATGACTCTGGTGCTGCCACAGCTGGCAAGGCAGCCTCAGGCAATCTGTTACGTTGGCCAGTTAGCCAGGACTGCTGTGCCGTGGGCTACACGAGCCTTTCTGTTTCCTCGCATTTGGCTTCGTGATTCCTTTCTTAGCAGTTTCGGAGCCATTTCATATTATTCCTTTGCCGTACATTTTCTGTAAAATTAATTACTTGCCTTAAGAGATATTCCATGAACTTTTGGAGATAATATGATATACTGAGTGGAATCCTGTCTAGTTTTAGTTAATAATACTTTTAAGTGTTGTTACAGTTACTAAGCATAAAGTTGCCTTTTCTTCTCTTTTGTTTTCATTCAATTTTTGAGGAATTACAGCTGCATCTATAAGAGGCCAGGCAATAGGCCAGTCAGGTAAATCAGTGACAAGGTTGTTCCAAGGAGAGTGTGGTACGGATTGGGTGGCTCTAACGTCCCATCAGCACCGTGAGCTGGAGTGAGAGACCTGAGTCAGTTGACTAGGCTCTTTGGCCTTGAAGATGCCGCTCCATTTCCTCGGGGTCAGAGTTTTCCATATATTTCAGTCAAGCCCTCACATTAGCATTCCAGCATTTTGCTATCAGTTCCAAGCATGGTGGTGACACTCTTGTCACTATCTAGGTGAGGAACACATGGAAAGGTGACAGCCTCCGGAAGAGCTTATCCCTAACGTGGTGCGCTGGAATCCAATGACACAAGCATCCGGCCCAGCGCAGCCTCTTCCAAGCTGTGCTACAAAGGACACTGAGCCCGCACACCCAACCCTCCGGACTCAGTTTCCTCCTATGTACATTTGGAAGGCAGATGCTGTAGTGGGGATCAGACATGGTACCTGCAATGTGCAACATGGGGTACATGTGCAGTATCACCGAGTAAGAGCACTGCTGTGGGAAAGGATGACAGGGACCCCCCAGTTAGGACTTCCTGGGCAGAACACCTCTTATTTGCATATGCCTGGAGGAGCTCATTTCCACACACTTTCATTCGTCCTGTGGCAGTCTTGGTAGGAATTCAGTCCCGTGCCCTTCCTTAGAACAAGCACAGAAGAGAAAGTTTGACAAGGCTGGTTGAAAACCAATGAAGGTAAAGACCTTTTGCATCTAAAGCAGTTGCCCTCCGATCGACGAGCCAGGATGCCCAGGAGTGTGTGCACGGAGGCAGATGCTCGAGCTGCACCAGGTCCTGGGTACAACCTGCATTCCTGGGGCTCCCTGGACTGCCCCCAGATCTGTGTTATCATCCAAGCTTTGTTTACCGGGAGAAAGAGCTGTGGAGAAGCCACTGAAAAGCAGGAATCCTGATCAGGGACCAACTCACTTCCACACTCCAGAGAAGAAAGGGGAAGGTGTGGAATCCTGACGTGGTTCATCTGTAACAGCCGTTTTCTCACTGGGAGCTCCACTAATGGTCACAGAGCAACTCGCAGGCGTGCAAGACTGAGTGTGTGAAGCCTCTTGCTATGAACTATCTCTGAAAGCAGAGTGAGGTCACCTAAGAAGCTCGGAGTGAGGGGAAATACTCATTAGCAAAGGAATTTTTCTGGGGCCATGAAATGGCCAACTCATTATTTCCTTCCTAAATTCTTCTAAACAAAAAAAAAACAAAAAAAACCCCTTGCTTTCCAAGAAATTTGGCTTGTTGGCAAATGCTTCATGTTTTAATTCAGTTTGGGGGATGAACTGGGAGAACGTGCCTTTAAAAATACAGTGCCCTGCATCCGACCAGGAGAAATAAATTTCTCACTATCTTATTGTGTGTGTGCGTGCGCTTTTTTGTTTGTTCGTTTGGGGTTTTTTTTTGGCCATTACAGAGAGAAAGAGACAGACCCCAGATTGTGGAAATATTTCCCTTTGTTTTTTTCCTTTTCCTTCTTTTTACAGTTTGTTTATTTTTCAAATTGACATGTGTAGAGAAAGTGAATCACTAGCACAGAAAGCACATCTGGAATCCATCGGCCCCTGCCGGGCTCACTCCTCCCCGCAGATGCTCCAACTTGGAATGGAGGGAAGAGGTGTGGGGTGACACACCTCTGAACCACCTTACAGAAAGTGTCGTATTCCTTCTCTGCAAAAAGAAAAAGGCTTGGTGTTGAAATGCCTTGAGGTAGACTTGAAGACCCCAACTGAATGAGGTTGAAGTGAAAACTCTTAGGTGTAACAGGTCTCTGTTGAGTAGATGTAAGGGAAGCTCAGGTGTGGGCAGTGTACTTCAGGGGACGGGTCTGTGGGGGTCTGGGCCACATGAGCACAGTTTGAGAGTGAGAACTCTGCCTGTGGACATAAGCAAGGCACAGCTGTGTCGGAATCTGGGTTTGTTGGAAGACCACTGTCCATAAGCAGGAGCATCTCTGTCCTGAGTATCTTCTATAACATGCCTGGCTTTCGGAATGTGTACACAACTAGCCAGCACCCAGCCACACTTCTCAGCATCAGGCTGTATTTTTAAGTATTCTGGTGGAAATTAAGCAGTGATCAACCTTTTACAATGGAAAGGCAGATGCTGGTCACTAACAGCCCAGACACCTATCTTTTAAAATAAAACAAAACGTGAGCATTTGTAGTGTGTAACGCTCACCCTCTATGTGGACTTCTCCAGCTCCCCACAAATACCACTTGCAGGACCAGGGGCTAAGACCCATAAGCCTCTGCAGGGACCCTCCCATCAAAGCCCAACCTAGACATCAATGCTAGGAAATCCACGGTACTCCTTGGAAACACAGGCACGTGCTCGCCACAACAACATCCTCAACCCATCCTAGCACCACTGCTAAGGACAACAACACTTGGAAACCACTCCATGTCCACAACCAGGAATGAATGGAGGCTGTTGCATCCATCCACATGGTGGAAGCAATGGGAAGGAATTACCGGCATCTCCACGCATGGCTCACAGGAGCATCACATTGAGAGGACGATGCCAGGCACACTGTATATCATATGGCTCCATTTATATGAAGGTCAGACACAGGCTAAATTACCCTAGGGGACGAGACGTCCAGAGAATGTTACTATCTGGGAGTGGTCAGTGACTAGAAGAGGCCATGAGGGATAGGATAGGTTGGTCTCCCAGGAGCCCTGGTGCCCGCAGTGCCCAGCACCTCTGCAGTGACCAGCAGCAGCAGGATGGATGAGCCAGGGAGGGCCGATGCCCCACCTCGCCATGAGCAGGACCTGGGAGGGGCAGAGCGTTCTTCCGGCAAACTCGGAGTCTGTGCTGCGCCCCTCGGGATGGAGGCCCGAACTCGTCCGTGAGATGGTCGGACTATGCACAATGGTGTTCAGATGCATCCAAAATCAATCTGATCTTTCGCCCAGCACTTAACTCTCAGATGGGGTCTACTTTCTAATGTTGATAATCCAAAGAAAATAAGCTTTTAGATTCCAAAGAGAGATGGATATCTTCCAGTTACGCAAAATGCGGAGATTCACATTTAACAAAAGACGTTCTGAAAAATGTGCTCCTTGAGCGATAAATATTTAATTAAGGGAAACTATAAATCAAGAATTAACGGGAAAATATGTTCACCTTCAAGATTCATGGTTTGGATGGGTTTCTGGCACATCTTAGACAATTTTTGTTTTGGTTATTTTCTTTCTGGTTATCAGTTTTTATTGTTCCCTTCTGTTTCCTCTACTCAATTTTATCAAAACTCTACATATTCAGGGGATAAAAAAGCTGATGTGAGTCTGCAAAGCCTGTGGTGTATTTCCTCTGCCCTTTATTTCCAAGAGAAGTCCAGATCCATCAGTTTTAAAGGGACTCACTTCCCTGCTATCCATACTATATAACCTAGTCGGAGGGGTGGAGACTGTCCAAGAGGTATTCAAATGCCGTGGAGTAATGGGGGAAACTAAGGCACAGGAGACAAACTTTGGACACACCCTGGTTTCAAAAGCCTTTCAGTTGCAGATGCCTAGAGACCTTTCACCCCAGTGTGAGTGGGAATCCCTGTACAATTCATGTTCCTGTCCTTTTAGTCCTGTTAGTATGTTTTTTATCATTCAGACTGCTCTGGTGCTGAGTCAGTTACCATTATAAATCCCCTTGTTATGCTTGCCAATATCAGGTCCTGGGAGAGAAACCCCTGATGGGAAAGCAGATGTCTCAGAGACATCTGAGGCAAACCCGACATGATGGTGTCATGGACAGAGGGGCGGCCACTTGGATGTGGCAGCAAGGGTCTGGCATGGGGGATGTTGCGTATGTAGGGCCCTCGGGCCAGCCATGTGACCCCATTGCCGTCGGGGAAATAGCCGCTCTCAGGATGCTGCTGCTTTGTGGCTCTTGGTGGAGCGGCACATGTGTTCCTCTTCCCTACCTTTGTGCCACGCCTTTTCCATGAATGAGGTCACACGTGGTGCAGTGGCAGTGCATCTGTGTGGGGATGAGGAATACTCTCTCCGGGGTTGTGCTCTGGGGTGGCAAGTGGTGGGAAGATAACCAGGCGACTAAGTTCTCCTGTGCCTGGTTTCCTACGAGAGATCTTCACGGTGTCAGCATGGGGATTAAATAAGGGGCTCCAGGGAAAGTGCTCTGAGAGTGTCAGCTGCTGCACCTACTTCTACTCTTAAAAAGACAGCTTGCAATTTGTTTTAAAAAGTGGTATGCGGGCTTCCCTGGTGGCGCAGTGGTTGAGAATCTGCCTGCCGATGCAGGGGATACAGGTTCGTGCCCCAGTCCAGGAGGATCCCACGTGCCGTGGAGCGGCTGGGCCTGTGAGCCATGGCCAATAAGCCTGCGTGTCCGGAGCCTGTGCTCCACAACGGGAGAGGCCACAACAGTGAGAGGCCCGCGTACCACAAAAAGAAAAAAAAAAGGTAAAGAAAAATCTTCACACAGTCGGTTGTTGTAAATTAACCTCGTTTGATCTTAATTATATATTTAAATACTCAAATAATTTTAATTTAGAATAAGTGAGCTTAGTGAAATCCATTTCTGCTTTGGTAGCTGGGTCTGCTTCACTGAGGACATCACAGGAGGCTGATGGATAAAGCCACAGGTGGGTTGGGGTACATCCAAAGTCCAGTGGGGAAGGACCACCGGAAGTCTGGCTCTTGGGTTTTCCGCCCCACCCTCTCACTAGTGCTCCCAGGTTGGTTTCTTTCAGTTCACACACACCGATTTAGTTTTGGCAGTTTAGACAGTTAGAGCTAAACTCTGAATTTTAAGCCAAACTCGAAAATCCAGTTAGTTGTCCTCTCTTTTCTTTCTTTAGTCTCAAAAGCTGTTGATTCCACTTTTACAGGTTTGTATTTCTTCCTCCCCTGGCTCCATGCTCAGCTGCTTGCTAGGGGGTGGCCATGTGGGCCGTGCGTGGCCTGTGCTCTTCTTCCTTTGGTGGCCAGGTGGTCGGTTTCCGAGCTCTCCGCTGGGCAGACCTGGGGGCCGTCTAGACTCAATTTCTGGCCCTGGCCCTGCTACCCGAGGATCCCATCCAGGAAGTGTGAGTACTTCCCACAATGTTGCGCCAAAACCCACCAAGGACGTTTCAGAAATCGGACGGGCATTATTCCAGATTCTATTCTATTTTTTGGACCTGGCATAATACTGTTTCTCTCTCAGTAACTGGGAATAAGGGTTTACCACCTCCTGTGCAGTAGATGAGTATGAACTGGTTAGCGTTCCTTAAGTGCCTTGAGGCCCGTGCACCGCGATGAAGAGTGGCCACCGCTTGCCACAACTAGAGAAAGCCCTCGCACAGAAACGAAGACCCAACATGGCAAAAATAAATTAATTAATTAATAAACTCCTACCCCCAACATCTTAAAAAAAAAAAAGAGATTTCCAGATGGAAGTATTACTTGGGTGTGTGTGTGATGGTGACGTGACTGAATGATGGCGGAGCTCATGCACTGAATTTCCCTCCTGAGCAACTGCAGACACAGAACTGCTCCCTCTGTCTCCATGGTCACTTAGGATCTTGACCTGTGTTAAAGGCCCCCTCTGGGCCCATGCAGATCAGCCGTCCAAATGCTTCAACATTTTTAGTGCCTTTACCCAACTTTATTGTTGCCGTTGATCTTAGGTGCTGTTACTTTATCACTGGGCGCCCCCTCCTTTTATCTTTTTTCAGGAGCCCATTCTCAACACCCTAGCCGGTGTCTGGCTTGGATCACTATTGCAGCCTGAGCCGCAGGCTTTCTTTGCCCGGGAAATGGACGTTCCCAGGGCGCCCTCTGGTGGATTCTGGAGCTAACCGATCGTGAGTTCCAAGTGATGGCGACGGTTCTCACGCTGCACCCCAGACCCTACACCTCCAACGAGACCCTGCACAAACATTACAGCTATGTAGGCAAGCTGAAGGACAGGCTGAAGGACGCCCCCGAGGGCAGCACGCTCACCACCATTGTTTTCTTGATCATCTGCAGCTTCATTGTCTTGGAGAACCTGATGGTTTTGATCGCCATCTGGAAAAACAATAAATTTCACAACCGCATGTACTTTTTCATTGGCAACCTGGCTCTCTGCGACCTGCTGGCCGGCATAGCCTACAAGGTCAACATTCTGATGTCAGGCAAGAGGACTCTGAGCCTGTCTCTGACGGTCTGGTTCCTACGGGAAGGCAGCATGTTCGTGGCCCTCGGGGCGTCCACCTGTAGCCTACTGGCCATTGCTATCGAGCGGCACTTGACCATGATCAAAATGAGACCTTACGATGCCAACAAGAAGCACCGCGTCTTTCTCCTGATCGGGATGTGCTGGCTGATCGCGTTCTCGCTGGGCGCCTTACCCATCCTGGGCTGGAACTGCCTGCACAACCTCCCTGACTGCTCCACCATCCTGCCCCTCTACTCCAAGAAGTACATCGCGTTCTGCGTCAGCATCTTCACGGCCATCCTGGTGACCATCGTGATCCTGTACACACGCATCTACTTCCTGGTGAAGTCCAGCAGCCGCAGGGTGGCCAGCCCTCACAACTCAGAGCGGTCCATGGCCCTGCTGCGGACCGTGGTGATCGTGGTGAGCGTCTTCATCGCCTGCTGGTCCCCACTCTTCATCCTCTTCCTCGTGGATGTGGCCTGCAAGGTGAAGGAGTGTGCCATCCTGTTCAAGGCCCAGTGGTTCATTGTGCTGGCCGTGCTCAACTCCGCCATGAACCCGGTCATCTACACGCTGGCCAGCAAGGAGATGCGGCGGGCCTTCTTCCGGCTGGTCTGCACCTGCCTGGTCAGGGGCCAGGGTGCCCTCTCCTCACCCATCCAGCCTGCTCTCGACCCAAGCAGAAGCAAATCCAGCGGCAGCAACAACAGCAGCCCCTCCCCAAAGAGCAAGGAAGACCTCCCCCAAACAGCTGCCTCGCCCTGCATAACAGACAGAAACAAAACCCTGCAGAATGGGATCCTCTGCAAGTGAGGACGCCGGGCTCCAGGAACGTGGGGTCCTTGCATCTCCATGGAACGAGCAGCAGCTAACCCTGCAGCCACATTCTTATTGATTGCACGCCTCACCCACGGCAGCTGTTCCAGAGCTAGGACTCAGGAAACCTATTCTGCCAACAGCCTGCCTGTTGTGGACATCTCTTAAGGAGGGAACCCAAGGAATTGCCAACCCATTTCAGTGTAGACAGCATGCCTTTTCCGTTTAGGCTCCAGGCTCTTACAAATGTACCAAGCTGCCGATGTCATCAGTGCCTTACCTTGAATCCCACCGACCACTGTCTGCTGTGCCTAGAGAGGGAAGGTCGTGGACCACAGTGTACAGTGTGTCTCCCAGAACATCAGGATGATGTTTGGTAACTTTACACTACACTCTGCACAGGATAGATGCTGTATATTCGTCATTTCTGTGTTACAGAGCACTTGCGTTTCATACGTCTGCCATTGGTACATGCATAAGTCGCAGTACGTGATACTGTTACGTAACAGGAAGTACAGGTATGTTCTGACTGAAGCACCAGGTATGAGGATATGGCTGGGTACTAGGTGGACGCACTGGTCCCAGTCTCCTCAGACTGACATGAAGTCTCAAGTTAAGCAGGTTTTGAAAGCCCAAATCCCCCCAAAGGGCTTGTCCAAGGCTGGTCTCAGATGTGTGGGTCTGACTCCAAACTGTCCTGAGACATACACTTGACAGCGTCTGGAGTATCCTGGTGAGAATGAGCAAGTTCTGTGGGCGTACATCCCCCAAGGGGACCCCTGCTTCTCTTCTGTCATTTGTCCCTGCAGTCTTAAGCACATCTAAAAGCCAAGTTAGCCAAATTACGTGATTGTTTGGCATTTCTCCAAATCACAGAAAAGCCAGCCAATGTATTCCAGGAGCCTGTGCCCCAGACCAACCAAGAAAAGAACCCACGAGGGAGAAGCAGAGGACAGACCCCTGGCTCATTTCACCTTTCCAATGTAATGGGGAGTTTCTATTGAATTAGGAGAGGTTTGCAAGGCAGCACTGTGATCCTATGTTGAGTTTGAATCTGTATCAGAAAGCACCAAGTCAACAACTCCCTGCGTTGTCACAGCTGAGCAGCTGGGGTCATCAGCAGCCTCATGGATTCCCGAAAGCTGACCCTGACCATTACTATTAGAGCAGTTTACTTGTGATCTGGCAGCTTGTGCTTTCTTCAAAGAAATATAGCCATACTGTACTCTTCCTTTTCAACACATGTTGACCCTGTATCACTGTTTACCTTAAGAAGCAATTACTTAGAAGGTATTTTTGTACACAGTCATCCCCAGTGATTCTTCATGCAGTACAAATGGGTGAAGAATACACAAATTTGTAGAGCTGTCATAAGCATATAGTTGATGTATTGAGTTCTTTGTTTAAAAAAAAAAAAAGCAACCTTTAAAAGGATTTTTTCTTGGGTAAGCCTTACATCAGAACCCCCTGAAGTTTTTAGGTTCAGTGGGAATTTTGCCTGGATAAAGACTAAAAGAGTAGTCTTAATACATGAATAACTTTTCAAAGAGAAAGGGACTCCTCTTTGTTATATGATGCCAGTTCCTCTTTATTAAGGAAGATTTCTGTGGGTCCTGGGTGATCATGTACCGACCAATGTCTTTCTTAATTTTTGTTACTGATGAGATTAATCCTATTTGTAAGGAGATGCTCATCGGTGGCTTTTTTTTTTTTTTTTTGCGGTATGCGGGCCTCTCACTGTCGTGGCCTCTCCCGTTGCTGAGCACAGGCTCCGGACGCGCAGGCTCAGCGGCCACGGCTCACGGGCCCAGCCGCTCTGCAGCATGTGGGATCTTCCCGGACCGGGGCACGAACCCGTGTCCCCTGCATCGGCAGGTGGACTCTCAACCACTGCGCCACCAGGGAAGCCCATAGGTGGCATTTTTGTTGTCCTCATTACGTCACTGAAAAGGAGCTGATTCTCTTGTCAATAGCATGAGAAAATCCAGGGCATTTCTGGAAAAGTTAAGCATTAAGATACTGGGATAAGAAAACAACAACAACAAAATTGCCTCAGAGAGCCCAAATATTGAGTATTGCATTTTACCTTAGGTAGGGAAATGACTTAAGAAATTTATATGTTAGTTCTGAGTTGCTTGGGGGCCCCAGATGTCTGGCACTAATATTAATAACACTATAACCTCAACTTTTTTTGAGGTAGTGCAAAACTTTCAATCAATCTGAATGAAAAATACTCCAAAAAAGAAATTGTGTTTATTTGATATATGCAAAAAGTAATCAAATTTAGTACCGATGTGTACATTCCTAACTAGCTAGCTGGAGATCATTTAGAAGTTGAGTATGTCAAAGCCACAGAGAACCTGTGCATTAGATCTCGTTCAGTTAGTAACCTTTACTGTGTCCCATGTATGTTTGTTAAAAAAATAAATAAAACTGAAAGCCTTTGTATAAACTCATTCTTGGGAGTCCGTGTGAGGGGCTGTGTACACTGGGGCTGCCCCTGGTGATGTGCAAAGTGGCAGTATGACCTCTCACTTGGTGCCAGTGTTTCTGTAGGAGTTAAAACACTCTGAGAATTCCAATAACATTTCCCCTAGGCTTCCCACTAGCAGAGCTGGTGTTTTAGGAAACTTCAATGTATTGGGTGCTTTTCCACCAATTTTGGTAGGTCAATAGGGAAGGTCAATGGACTACCCTTTTGATAGGGGGACAATTGTAAGGGTCATGGCAGCCAAAGTACAGCTGAAAGAGATGGGATGATGGGTTCTGTTCCATTTGGTGTAATTGAAGCAACAGGAGAGACTAGATCAGAACTAACCCTTTCTCTAGCTTTCTCCAGCACAAATGGTAAGTTTTCACTTCTCCACCCTACATTCTACATAGAAGGAGACCAGTGTTTGGCATCACTAGTTGGTAGTGACATTCTGCCACCTTTGCTAACTGCCCAAGGCCGAGTGGACAGAAGTTAACATAAATCTCAACAGGAATGCCTTTGCCAGGCCGCCATTTTCATCCCACACCTTTGGTGTTCCTGACGGGGTTCTGCTGTGATTGTGTTTTAAGAGGTCTCCTGGGGAATAATTGAGAATATCTGCTTTCTATGGAAAGGTTTCAAACTCAACTCCTCTCCTTCATGAGGCAATACAAGATCCACCAAACAAATGAGAGACTTTTCACGATATTCTTTATTGCCCTCAGACCCACATTGACAGTTAACATCAGACTATTTAGAGAACAGTTGTTTCCACCCTTGACCCATGTTGCTTCTGCACTGGTAAAGAGCCTTTCACAGAAATGTAACAAGGTGTACTTTATAGAAAACTTCTAGTTAAATTACCAAGTCCATGCTTTTAAATGTATCTACGAGTGCAAAACTTCCACACCCAAATGTTTTTAGTATCTAAGTCAAATATCAAAGGGTTTGCTACATAATCAGAAATGCACACACCACTATTCTGAAAATGAAGGCACATTTTCCAATAACCAGTGATAAGAAGTGCAGCATTGCCTAAGTGGGTGTGACAGCCTTTGCCCCTGGGCCACAGTGACGGCGTCCAGGGACGACATGTGGCATCTCCAGTTGGCTGCCCTAGAAGCTCAGGGATGTGCCCAGTGTGGCAGCAGGGCTCACAACTGGAAGCCACATCATTTACTGAAGGAGTGAAGTGGATTCACTGAATGTGAGGCGGGAAGGAACTTAAGCCAATTCTCTTTACCCGTTGTGTTAACAAATATCCCAAATGTTGGCCAAATAATTTAGGTTTTATTATTTTTCATAGAACAGAGGTTAGAAAACTTGAAATTGGTTTTGTATTTCCACTCCTCAGAGATGTCCAAATACCGATTCTGTTCCAATATCAACGTAGAAAGTGGTAAATTGGCAATAAACCATAGACCTTCACAGTAATTCCTTTTTGTTTCACAAAAATTAACAGAAAACAAAACACAAAATTTTCAAATATTTATCAATATGTATAATTTGCCATCCAAATGCTTTTTAAAAATTAATAAATATCTCATTATTACACATTAGATGTACACGGAGTTCTCTCCTAATCCTTGGATTTAAACATCAAATTTTAATTCTTATTTAGTTCTGGATACAAAGAAACATTCATGTACTTAACTTTACAATATTTATTCTGGAACAAGTTATATTCAAAAGTCAAATGAACAGAGACCATTCCACTTGCAACCAACATACAGCTGTTACAAAAAAGTTAATTCAGTGTTCAAAAATGGATTTGCCCATTGATTTCGGCTTTAGTTGTCACTTGATTTGTGGTTAGAAACTTTGGTTGTGGTAAAAATGTCCCAGACAAGTGTGAATTCATGACCTCAAACACCAGGGCCACAGTGTGTGTCCCACTTGCATATATTCCTGCCTACAGCATTTCAAGGTGAAACAACAAAAGAGAAACTTTACATTGCATGAGATGCAGGAAGGAGGCGAGAACAGGCAGAAGCAACCTCACCTCCGCCTCCAGCATCCCTCCTAACACCGACCATTTTTCATGCATGAGGGGGTCCCGGCCTCCTCCTGGGCCATCCACGCCTTGTCTGCCTGTTCTTACCCTCCCCATCCCGTCTGCAGCCTAGTTTGCAAAGCCTTCAGACTCCCCAGACCCACCCAGGAGTTCCACCCTCCAGGGTCCTAGTTGAAGTTGGCCACACCAGCCATCAGGCCTGTCACGCTCCCACACTCTTTGTGCGTTTATTTCCTACTGGACTATATCCTCAGGCAGACGGAACCTTTGCACACTCACAGGAGCCCAGAACAATGCCTACTTCATGTGAACTAACGTAAGATGAGGCCAAGAGAAAGCTGGTTAGAGAAGCCAACAAGCAGTGCGGCTATACCGAGGAAGACCACACTCGGCCCCCAAACACGCCTGCCCGGGCAGCCTCACCAACACCCACCCCTGCTTGTTTTTTTTACATGCTACTGGGTGAACAGGGGATGTAGGTCTGGACGTGCTGCCCCCTCCCTTCTTTTTTCTTTTTCTTCCTCTGTCCTCCCATCCTTTCCTTTCCTGGCTTCCCCCATTGACTTCTCTTCCCTTGTGTCACTTTCCACAGTGGACCCCCCGTGACCCTCTTGTCCTATTCCTGCAGCATCCAGGACCCTCCTCCCTGTGTCTGTAAATTCTAGGATATATCGGTCCCCAAACTCTCCACATTTGTGTAACTTTCTCGTTGTCCTTGTTAGTTAAAATACCAAAACCCAGGGAAGAGCCCCGAAGTGCTAATTGCCCAGTCAACCTGCGTGTGCACACGTACAGACAGAGATGCACGTCCGTTGTGATCAATGTAGGTATATGCATGTGTATATATGTATATACAGACAGACAGAGATGCACATCTGTCATAATCAGTAGATATATGTATGTGTGTGTGTATATATGTATCTATACATATGCAATTGATATTCACAAGTCCTGGTATAAAGTTGCAATTTTTCTGGCTGCTATAAAATATGCCAGTTTTAAAACTGTTTATTTGTTGCTTGCAAACTTATAAATATGTATAAACTCCATTATAAATAAATTGTGGCTGGCAGATGGCATTTTATCTGCCAGCAATGATTGCATGGAGTTATAAATGCTTATTAATCCTCCACTTTTAAACTCACAGCATGGACGCTGGGATCTATAACATGAAGTGGCATGAAAACATAATCATACATTAGAGGGGAAAAACCATCAATGAGACAGGTAAGGGCTAGCAATTCGCACCTGAGGATGGTTCTCAAAGTCAAGACTGCCTACCAGCTTCACCCACAATTTATTAGAAAGGCAAATTCTCTGGCCCCATCCAGAACTACTGAGTCAGGAACTCCGGGGAGGACCCCCGATGGCTCTGATGCCTGCCTTTCACCCCATGTCTGCTTATGAAGGCCTGTCTCTCTGCCAAAGGATT